GATTCCAAGAGGTATTAGCCTTGAACAGTGCAGTCTTTTTTCCAGCGTTGAGGAACAGCTACAATGCACAACTACGATAAAAGGTTAATCGAGGAGGTTTGGAAGTACAAGCACTTGTACAATGCCTCAGACAAATTATATAAAGATGCCTAGGTTCTCGTGACCATCTGCTGAAGTTCACGCAAGTTCTTGATTAGGCTCCCCCTTGCACTTTGCTGGTAAACTGCTGTGTGTCCCTAGATTCCAGACCGACGTTGTAGAAAAATACCAGCAAAACTGGTTCGCGACCAGACCCAAGCAACATTTTATGTGTGCGGACGCAGAAGTCTAATCTGCCCTTAAAGGGGAACACCATTTTTTTTTTTTTTTTACATTGGCCCCTTCATTTTACGTTATTACATCATGTTCTACTCACCCATATTAGTTTTGTGTCATTTGGAGCCGTTCCGAAGATATTCCGTTAGGTTATATCCAAGTAACGTCTTACGAATAGAACGAATAGAAGGGGTAGAGCGTAGCCGCCTGTGGCCCGAGCTGCGTGTCACAACTCCAGTCCGGCGCGCGGATGACGTTATACACACTCCTCTTTGTTTTAAAAAAATATAAATAAAAAAATATAACCACAGATCTCTGGGGGACAGTGATTCGCCTACATGTTATGAATGCTGGCGTACCATGAATGATAAATTATGAACAGTTTAGTTTGTGTCTTCAAGTTGTTGCCCATAGGAAGACGTTACTTGGATATAAAGGAATATCTTCAGAACGACTTCATGTTGACATCTTTTACATTTTTCAAGACTCCTTTTTAGTTTTCTAAACATAATTTGTTCCTTCCAGTAAAGAGTTTAGCTAATGTGAAGCGGCTCGTGAAGCAGCCGCCAAGAATAAGACAGTATGGCACCGAGCATCACCAATGACCGTCGGACCAAGCGCCAGCCAGTGGAAGAGGGCAGGACCAGGGGAATGGGAGACTTGAGAAAAAACAGTCTCGATCACACCTTCCCACCCTAGTGCCCCCACTCTCAACACACAGACTCTTCAAAAAAAAAAAAAAATTAAAAAAAATGTGTACTTACATTCACACCAATAACCCCAGGACCAGCACCGGCGCTCCAAAGACCCAGGAGGTGATTTTGCCTTTCTGCTGCAAAGCTGGTAACATGTGAAGTGAAAGGAGAGGGCCTTTCACTTTGGGACAAATTGGAAACACTGACTGGTCAGTTATTAATAACCCTCTAGATTTGATTGACAGGTGGTGTCATATAAATTTAAGTAATTTACTACAGGTCACAGGTGACAGATACTTATGAAAACAAATATAAATAAACTAAAAACTAAACTAAAATGTTTGAACTTTGTTTAGTTTCCCTGCTTATCTAGGTACATGTCAAGGTTGATGAACATTTATGTATTATCAATGGATTTGCTGGTTACTATAGTAATGCTCACTTTTTTTATTTTTTTTTATTTTTTATTTTTTTACCATTTTTGCCAGTTTTCTCTAATATTTGCAGAGAATTTTAATTTAGAAAGCCAGAACATACATGTGTACAGGCGCACACTGGAGTCAGTTTCTATGCAAAATAATTTTGCTTTACGCTTCTTGCATCTTCTCTAATTACACCAAAGTACAGCTGTAAAGCTGCAGGTTGCATGTTTTTTTCTGTGCAAACGTCACAGCCTGCACTGTAAATCTTAATGAGCACCAGAACTCCCCCTCACCCCACCCGCCACCTCCTGGTTTATACCCCTACCCCCAGCTGGGGGCTTTAATAAGCCACACTGGGGGGGTTGGAGGTTGATCAAAGTAACGGGTTCTGCTCACAAGCGCCACGTCCCACATACCTGCAGGTGAAATGTGTTCAAACCTACAGCTCCTCCCTCACCTTTATTTATTTAGAGCTCTTTAACCTGCAGCTATCTTTTTATCACTTTCCCTCCTCACTATGTGGCTTCGTCCTTTTAATTACTTCCTGTTGTTTCTGGAGGAAACACTCATGTGTTTCAGATTTATTTATATGGGACAAAAAGAAACAGCATTTTTACTGACATCAGCATTTAAACAGTTTTTCAGTTTGATTATAAACTGTAAAAAAAAAAAAAAAAGTTGTGCAGAGTACCAGAAATACCAGCTCATGTCATGATAGTAAAGTGAAGTTATCTAGAAACAAATGTCAGGGCGACTGATACTTGCAGCATAATAACTAGTTCTTCCATGAAAATAGTTATTTTTCTTAGTTTCTTAGTCTCAAACTGATCCCAGCAGGCACCCATAAAGAAACAGAAATATTAAGCATACAGATGTTCCTTCCTGGTTTAGGTTGTAACACACAGCTGGAATTACAGAGCATAAACATGTATGATGACAGGGCCGGTGACTCTACCTGCTCCAGGCAAATTACAGTATATCCTCAGTCCGTCAGTCAGGCTCCCAGAGCTGAGCAGCAGAATTGATGTAAAAACATCACAGCTTTGGGAAGAACTCCTTAGATGACAGACACCGACCCTCCTGACTGTTGTGTTGTCATAGATCCATGAGCTTTTAAGGAAGATCCAAAGCGTGTCTGATCACATCCCTTCAGCTTCCCCACATTTTGTTGCATTTCAGCCACATACACTCACCGGCCACTTTATTAGGTACACCTGTCCAACTGCTCGTTAACACTTAATTTCTAAGCAGCCAATCACATGGCGGCAACTCA